TCCTGCTTCCAGCGCTTCCCACTGTTATAATGGTGGTCAGGTGCAGGAATGGAACTCGGCAGGCTTGTCTTACGAGCCTCTTCCGGGACTATGGCAGTTCCTCCACGCCACATAACAGCCGCGGTGATCGACGTGCCACAGACAAGCGCAAGGAATTTTGCTGTCACCTTAGACATTCATGCAATGCTATCTGACGCGCCAGCTTTTCTTTGCGTGACCATCAAGGGATGTGCGGAGTGCTGGCGCCTAACAACATTTCCCATTGACTTTGCCAGGCATGCACTTGACATGCCTGGCGAACACTTGGCGTGCTCTTAGCATGCCGGGCAGACACTTGGCATGCACCTTGCATGCCTGTGTAGTCTCGCCATCGGCCTGGCTCGGCCGCACGTGGAGCGGCCGGCGGCGCAGCAGGTGGTCCCGAGCGGTGCTCTGAGTGGCGCGCGCTGCCCTGCCCCAGACGCTGACGAGGTGCTGCTGTTCGAGCGCGCCACGTTCCTGGTGATCAGCTGCTGCGAGCGCAAGGACCACAAGGACCCTCACCGGCTCGAGAAGGTCTCCAACATCATCAAACAGTTCAAGCTCAGCTGCAGGTCGGTGCGGATGGTGCGGTGCTGAGGAGCTCTAGGTCGGTACGGGTGGCGTGGTGCTGAGCAGGTGCAGGTCGGAGCGGATGGCGCGGTGCTGAGTAGCGGCAGGGCGGGTGGCATGGTGCTTAGTAGCTCCAGGTCGGTGTGGGCAGCGCGGTGCTGTGTAGCTCCAGGTCGGTGCGGGTGGCGCGGTGCTGAGTAGCTCCAAGTCGATGTAGGTAGTGCGGTGCTGATTATCTGCGAGTCGGTGTAGGTGTTGCGGTGCTGAGTAACCGCAGGTCGGTGCGGATGACGCAGTGCTGAGTAGCCGCAGGTCGGTGTGGATGGCGCGGTGCTGAGTAGCTCCAGGTCGGTGTGGGTGGCGCGGCGCTAAGTAACCGCGGGTCGGTACTGGTGGTGCGGTGCTGGGTATCTGCGGGTCGATGTGGGTGGCGTGGCCCTGAATAGCTCCAGGTCGGTGTGGATGGCGCGGTGATGAGTAGCTCCAGGTCGGTACTGGTGGCGCGGTGCTGAGTAGCTCCAGGTCGGTGTGGGTGGTGCGGTGCTGAGTATCTGCGGGTCGGTGTGGGTGGTGCGGTGCTGAGTATCTGCGGGTCGGTGCGGGTGGTGCGGTGCTGAGTCCGCGTGCCTTCCCTGGACGCCCGCGCAAAGTCTAGTCGCATGGGGCCGGGAGATGTTCAGCCTCTGAGAGGAAGCGAGCGCAAGCAGTGCTTGGTGGAATAGGCGTGTTCCGCGTTGACCGATATCACGTCTGTACTGCGAACCGACGCGCCCTTTGTGCTCCTGCAGCAAGCTGGCGGCGCAGTGTCAAAGTATGGAGGTGCGGAACTCTAACTTCTCGGCATTTATCGAGACGTTCACCGCCAACACATACTGCATGGTGATCCTGTCGGACACCTCTATCCGTGAGTATGCCCCCGAGAGGAGGTGGACAGAGAGGAGCACAGACTGCTCTTTCCGTGGCCCCCGAGAGGAGGTGGACAGAGAGGAGCACAGACTGCTCTTTCCGTGGCCCCCGAGAGGAGGTGGACAGAGAGCGGTGCAGACCGCTCTATCCGCGAGTATGTCCCCGAGGGAAGGTGGACTGAGAGCAGTACGGACCGCATAGCCAGCGGCCGCAGAGAACCGCACGCAACACTGGGGGTGGGATGACGTCTGGTGGGGTTCACTCCGGGAGGACAATCGCGAAAGGAAATATGAAGATGCAACCACTATCTCGTGTGATTCATCCCGTATAGCAGCTAGCGTGGTCAACGTGGTCCTCTTGGAAGCTAACGGCAACGATGCTGGCACAAGTTTTTGCACCGCAGACTTCATTCTGGTCTGTACGCAGTGGAAACAAGGAGTGACCTGCGTATCCGTCTCATGCTGTGAGCATGGGATGAACCTAGGTTGACTTGCTCACCGCTCACAAGCTGTGCCAGGTTTCAACGCGCTGTGTCTATCCCGTGATGCGATGTAGCTGGACGCACGCCGACCGCTGTCGCTGACGGGGCGTTCACCTTATCCAACAGCCTCGGCGTCGACCATCATGAACCTGCGGAACGCGCGCCGCCAGTTCGAGCGGCTAGAGCTGATGGATCGGCGGTAGGCGGCGGGACGTCTGCGTCGGGGCGCCCGGGGCCGCCGGCGACTCAGGCAGTGCCACTCGTGGTCGGTGGCATTGACGGAGCAGCCCACTACGGACGGCAGACCTGGCGGTGGTCTGAGCCGGCACCGGGGAGGAGTGAGTGCTCAGATGAACCCAGCGGACGCCCGCGGAGTTGACGTGCTTTGCGCTGCTGTGGCCTCCAGATAGCCCCTCGAAAAGTCAGAGTCGCGTCAGCGAGGACTGGCCCGGCTGACCGCGGCGGTGACCTCCAGATAGCCCCTCCAAAAGCCAGAGTCGCGTGAGCGAAGACTGGCCCGGTTGACTTCGGCTGACTTCAGTCAGCCAGACTGAAGACTAGACCGCCAGACCAGTCAGCAGCCGGAGGCGACGACGACGCGGACCTCGTGTGGGAGCAGTAGCCACGCGTGTGCGGACCCGCGGACCGGCGCTGGAGGGGCCTCGGGACAGGACAGCGCACGTACGCCTGGTGTGTAGTCGGGCGCCGGTCCGCTACACACGCGCGCCCTATACGCAGATGCTTACTCTCCGTCGGAGGCCCAGCAGAAAAGTGGGCGGAGAAGGGAGGGAGTCTGCGTCGCGAAGATAGGGGAACGGATATGAGACACGCGAACTGTATGGCGCGGGGGCAGGCGCTGTGCGCGCATCTCAGATGCCCCGCCGGGATCCATCGTACTCGTCGTGCCGGGAGAGCTGTATCGTGTATGGGCTTGATCCTCGCTGGTTTTGTATCAAGTGGTATGCTCGCTCACGAGCCCGTAATGTTTCGTAGCTCGAAGTAGGGCGTCACTTACTCCATGTGCGTTACAGTCTATTGTCTGAGAGGGTGGAGTCCCACACGGCTTTGTGCCGATGATGGTTACTGGGGATTCATTGATATTCGCTTCCGTCGTTGCAGGTGGTCCGAGGCGAGGCATTTGCCGGTAGACATGCACGCCAATGTATTGCCTCGACCACGCCACCGATGTGCAATTTGTGGTCGGGAAACGGCCAGTTTAGGCATTGGCGGACTGTACTTCGTGACAGATGCTTTTGGGAAGTTGTTTCGCCAGTGATTTCTGTCGCTTCACCTGCTGCAATTTGACTATGACACCGTACGGCGTTGCGCTCGATGCCCGTCATGCGTCAACAAAAAGTATTACCTTGTGTAGCCCAATATGCAGTGTTTCCGGTTTCTTCGCCATGTGGGTGGGAAAGATCGCAACGCACGCTGCCTGAGGGGAGGCGGGCGTCTTTTCCAGAGACGGGGACTGGCGTAATATGTTTAGAAGTGCAAATCGCCGAAGTCGCTCACCTTGGCGGGCAGGGAGCGTCATGCCTGGACACCTCAGGGAGCGTAACTCAAGACCCGGGGCGCTGGGCTGGCCACAGAGCTGTGGCGCGCCGGCAAATATCTACAGCCGGCGAGGAACGTACCGGGCAATAGCCAAATATACATATGCCTTACAAGTACAGATGAGCCGCCGTGTGTATACGCAGACAGGTAGCATGTGCTAAACGGAGTAGCGGCTGGGATATACAAACATGAATCCGTGTATGGAAGACCGGGGTTGTCTACATCTATGCCTGACCGTTTGCGTGGCGCCACGCTATGCCATGAAGCTTTACCCGGACCAAGTCCCCTTCACTGATGCTTGTACCAGTTATGGAATGCAAACAGACGCACTCTTCGCTCGCGACTACATTCATTTTTCCCGAGCCACATCATTCTGGAGGCCACGTCGCGGGCCGGCCGCCTGCGTTAGCAATGCGCCTTGAAGGGCGATTTCAACAAGTCATATCGGCAAATGTCCTTTTTACATTGCTAACTGACAATGCCGTACAGTGACATCGTGTGCGCATTGTCCACACCCTGAGCACCCGTGTAAACGCATTCTGAATTGTAGGCGGTATCTACACATTGACGCTGCGGCCGGTCCACCAACATTCATTTATACGCTGCAACAGGGTCGGCCGAATACGATTCAAACCAGAGAAACCAGGGTTTTGTACTGGGAGCTGATATCCCTATGCTAGAGATAACAGATGCTCGCAGCCGCGCTCTCTGCGCGTTGTTATCAGTTTTCTCCCAAGCCGCCCTGTTCTGGCCGCCACGCTGCGAGCAGGCTGACCGCAGTGGGCAATGCGCCGACCAGGGCTGATTTGAACAAGGAAGGCCAGTCGGCTAATGAGCAATTTACATTGCCGACAAGAAGCTTTTCCAGAGCAACATCGTGCGTGCACGACTGCCCCGGTGCACACGCAAAATAAATTTGCTCTGGGAATTATATCTGAGAAAATCACCGCTGCAGCCCACCTGTCCAGCACCGAGCGATGTGCTTCCAGAGACCTGGCCGTGCTGCAGGGCAGTCCTGACCTGCCTCTGGATCGGACCTGCTGCACCATCTGACCCTGCCTGACCCGATGACTGGCACGCCGGATCGCCGGGTGTTGCCGGATCACAGCGTGGCCACATTCCGTGTAAGCCATTTTCTGTGCCTGGTATAAACGGTCTGGGCTGCATAGTTCACTGCCAGCATCAGTCATACGGACAGCAGTGCAACCACACAGACCGACCGAGATGTGGTCCCGACGCCCGGCTGCGCGCTTGTAGTGTCTCATGCATCTCGAACGCAGTCATTTACGGCTGTGCCTGAGCAGTCAGTGGATCAGATCGGACGTATCTTCCCCGGCCGCCATTGGTGTTCGGTGGGCTCCACTCTGCGCACTCGCCACCGTTCCAGTCAAACACCAGTTTCGAGTCACCAGTCTCATTCACCGTCCGCTCCGGTCAGATACAATACTTTGGCCTAGCTTGCCTAGCGATGCAGCGCGCCGCGTCGCCAGGAACAAGTGACACGCACCACGGGGGCGCGTCGAGACGCCGCCACAGGCCGGCGCGGAAGACGCTGCGTCAGACTCGCCGCCAACGCGCCGGCGGGCGGCATGGAGCCCAGCCCCGGCCGCGCGCCGGCGGGCGGCGCCCGGCGCCCGAGACAAAGGCCCCTCAGGACGGAACGTTCGCGTAGCGACGCCGGCCCCGGCCAGCGGTATATTGGACGCCACGATACGGGCGGTCGGTTGGTCGGCGGCACGCGCCGCCGCCGTGTAAACTCGCGTACAAAATAGTCCACCGCCTCAGTGTATAGTACCAAGTGTAAAACACCTGCACAGCCCTGCGCTGCGCGCTGTGACGCAGAGGAATGTTCTGGAATGTCACGGTGCGGACGAATCGCACCCGTTCACTCGATCGCGACGGCTAAAATCGGTTTCTGGCAGGATCGGCCACGCAGCGCGACAGTTACGCGGGGGTCGCGTACAACTGGAGTCGGCGTGTCGGTCACTAGATGTCGCTGGCCTCAGACGCGGCTTCCAGGCGGGCTGAGCGGCGGCGGCCGGTGCGGGCCGCGCAGCACGCCCTCCGATCCGCGCCGGCCGTACGGAGGCCCCAGCGCCGGCGTCGGGATACCCAGCGGCTGCGGCCGGCGGCTGACGCCCGGCCCGGCAGATATGGCGTGCTTCAGAACTGGCGGCCACCAACACAGTGTCAGGTGGTGCAGAACGGCGCTCCAACGTGCCACACGGAAACCGGTGCGAAAAGGAGACGTCCCAATTTTACACTGTACGGTGGCAACATCGAACGCAACATGACGTTGGAGGGGGAAGGGCGGGGCATCCACTAGCCATTAGGAGCCCCCCCCCCCCCCACTACCGGAACCTCATTAAAAGTATATACGGATGTCAGAGACGATCGGTCCTAACGGCACATTCGTGAAAATCCTCAAATCATCAACATGGCACGTGACATCACGTACAGACTATAAGGCACCGACATCGTGCACCTACTATAAGGAATAAACTGATAGATCTAACTAAATACAGGCTGGCATGAAATCAGGAAGACAATTCGTCCAATGATCATGTAAAGATCATGCCAACGCTTTAAGTCGTAAACCCAACACTGGACGCCGCATGCCTTCGTCCAATTCCCTACCCTACAAGCCGGGTCTCACCGTGGCCGGGCTGCGGGTGTGCTGCCACGGACCGAATCCGCTCGTGGTGACGTGGCAGCGAGCGATTGGAGTACTGCTCCCCGCCGCCCATGCCGCCACCCAATCGCATCATCGCCTGCACCGACTCGTACTCGTAGAAGCTGCCGATTGGTCGATCACCAGGCCGAGGCTCCACCCTTCCGCCGCGTTGCGAGTGATATACCTGGTGCTGCCGGCTGGCGGCGGAGATAGGCGTTACAACGGAACCGTCGGCGCGACGGCCTAGCACAGCCACAAAACGGTGCCGCTCGCAGCCATGCAACGCGCGCTGCATCAATAGGGAATGAACGACGCAAAGACGGGCTACGAATCAGCACTTCCAACAGCCGCATCACGACGCACTATAAAACTGTGAAGACCACAAAGCTATTCTCAGCACTCCAAACAGCTGCATCACGACTATAAAGCTGCGAAGACCACGAAGCTATTCTCAGCACTCCGAACAGCTGCATCACGACTATAAAGCTGCGAAGACCACAAAGCTATTCTAAGCACTCCGAACAGCTGCATCACGACTATAAAGCTGCGAAGACAACAAAGCTATTCTCAGCACTCCGAACAGCAGCATCAAGACTATAAAGTTGCGAAGAACACAAATCTATTCAGCTGCATCGGTCAGGTCAGGGAAATCCGCCAGCGCAACTCAGACAAAAACGGCGGCCAGTTATCTTGCGCTATGACTACAGTCATGGATACAAAGCTGGCTGCACCGGCGTGGCTGCTGTAAGCAACTCAGACAGATGCGCCACTGCTGCGGTTATTTCAGCTCTCGCTTCAGTCGATGCGTCTGCACTGTTAGTACAGTACGTACTATACTGTTAAATAAGCACACATCCCCGACTTTAGGTTTTCAATCCTGTTCCAGCGCCCGCGGATAGCTTTAAGGCCCCCCATGCTCCTGCAGAGTCCAGGTGAGCCGCGACAGGGAAGCGAAGGCAAACTGCGAGCCAGCTCAGGCGTCACCAGTTACGCATTCAAAGCAGTTCGAAAAGCGGTCAGCGCAAGGGAATGGCGAACAGCAACGTGCCATGACATGCAAACCAGCCAACTCTCATTCAACCGATCTCAACAGCTAGTAACAACCCAGCCACGTCTTTGGGGGGAGCCGCATTCGAACGCAACCCAATCGAGCTCAGTTGCCACTGGAAAGGGTCCCCCGCCGGCCATGCACGTTAGTCCGCCTCCAAGCGCGTGCTTCTGGCCCCGCTGGAAGCGACAGCCCACACCTGGCGTCCGCCCGGAACTGGGCCTCCAGCTGCTCGAGCAGTACCTGCCCACTCCAGCGCTTGGGCCTGCGAACACGCGTCCCGCACCGTTCAACAGCCGGCGCTGGCCGCAGAGTGCTCGGCAGGGACCAGGACTGACCACCACCGGCCAGGACGGCTCTTCAACACTGACAGCCATGCGGACATAACACCGGTCCCACCACCAGGAGCGCTCCACCAGCCTTCCGCATCCCATGTGACATCGCTACACGTGCATTACGCGTCACGACACTAAATTTTGCCATACGCGGCAGCGCCCACTCTTTGCCACTCCTGTCTAACTCTTCTCTCCCCCCGTTAGAAACACCCACCAGGTGTTCCCGTTCACCGCCTCGTCCCAACTCCTTACAACGCCTCGCCCCAACTCCTGACAATGCCTCGCCTGACAAGGACAGCGCCTCGTCCCAAGTCCTGCCAGCGCCTCGCCTAAACTCCTGACAGCCCCGTCCCTACTCCTGACAGCGCCTCGCCCTAACTCCTGACAGCGCTTCCACTCGCCGGAGCGCGCCGCCACCGTCAGCCATGAGCTGACCTCACGGCGGCTCTGACTCTGCCCAGCGGCCGCAATGACCCCACAGAGCACCGGGTCAGGCTTGGCAGGGAGGGTCTCTCACGCCAGCTGCCGCATTGCCCGCTTATTACCCTTCTCCTTCATACCGAAGCGCTGAAATGACGACTGCTGCCGAAAAAGACTAATCCAAACCAAACAAAAATCCCCGGCAGGACAGTATGACCTGGGGTGCGCCCTCGACGAGACCTCCCCGACTGCTGCAGTGACCTGCCAACTCCCGGCACCCGCTGCACCAGACTCCCAGAGTTTCCGTCTCCCATTGAGCATCACGACACCGGTCCATGCCCTCCCCGGCAGCGAGCGAGCCACGCTGGGCGCGACACTCACCGCGGACCGTACTGCGCCTCCTCGTAGCCGGGGTGGTGCACGTAGCGTGGGCCGGGCTCGGCCAGGCCGGTCCGACTGCCGGGCCGGCGCATCGAGTCGTACGGGTCCGGGGTGCCGCGCCAGACGGCCGGCGGTCCTGGCTCCTCCGCCCGCTGTCGGCACAGGTCACCGGGGTCAGCCGGGGTCAGGGGTGCCGTGCCAGACGGCCGGCGGTCCCGGCTCCTCCGCCCGCTGTCAGCACAGGTCACCGGGGTCAGCAGGGGTCAGGGGTGCCGCGCCAGACGGCCGGCGGTCCCGGTTCCGCCCGCTGCCGGCACAGGCCACCGGGTCCGGACACATTTGTGGGCGTCGGAACAAGCCAGCAATGCCGGTCCCGGAGAGGACAAGGCATCGGCGGCGACGGCGGAAGGCAGAGAACATCACGACGCAGACCGTGTAGGACTCACAGTAAGGTCCACGAACAACAGCCGCTGACGTCTTGTGGAAAGGGGAAACTCCTCTGAGAGCGTCTTATGACCAAGAAAAGGCTAGCATCGACTTAAGACCAGTGGGGGTTGGGTGGGGTGGCGTGGCACCAGGCATGGGAGGTAACAGGACATCACAGCAGGCCGTAAGGCGCCAGCGTCCAGCGGCGCACATCGGACAAGAATGCGGAGGGTGGGGCGCGTTAAGCGCCAAAGAGTCAACACGCCGGGTCACGACGGCAAAAACAACCGGCACTGTCATCACTGCTACATCTGGAAACGACAGATGAAGCGAAAGTGGAGACACAGTGATATTAGCATGCAGCAAATGTCACGGTGCAGAGCGAGCTGTCCACCGGACGTAGACAACAGCGGAGGACTGAGACACACAGAATAGCCACCGAGCCGCCGTCAGTCCAGGCGCGACCCGGACCGACGCCCGCGCCGCAGCAGGCCACGGCGCGCGGAACGCCACCTCTCGGCGCCATGCTAGCGTGCGGAGCATTCGGTCGCGGCCGTCACGCACCACGCGCGTTAGTCGGAGCCTCTCCGGTGACGCAGGTCCGCCGCTCGGGTTAGTTCGCAGGCGGCATGCTGGCGCACGCATGCGGCGCGTTCGCGCATGCTCCGCAGCCCGCCGCGTGGCCGCGTGGCGTCCGTGCTTCGCCGTGCAGACCGCGTGCCGTGCTGGGCCTGTCGAAGGCCGCCGCCTGCCGGCGCGCATGCGCAGACGCGCGCCGGCGCACCACCTACCCAGAAGGCGGCGCGCTCGGCCGAGAGCGGCGCCGGCCGCCGGTTGCGGAAATACTCGCTGCTGCGCGCGCCGCGCGCCAGCGGCCCGGCGCGCCAGAAGGCCGCCTCGCAAACGTTATTGTTGAGCCTGTCGGTGAGGTGGACCGGCGGCGGCGGCGGCACGTGCGGCTTCAGCTCCGCCTGAAACGCAGCGCCGTCCGCAGGCCGTCAGCGGCGCCGCGTCCGCCGCCGGGAAGGAGACGAGGCGGACCCGGGCGGCCAGCGGGCGCCGGCTCGCGGCTGTACCGCCGGCTCAGGACCGACTCCAGCAGAACCTGCCCGCCTTCGCTGCGCCCTGTGTGCGAACCGCGACACGTGCCGCGCCGCCGCGGGGCGCCAGGCCGCGCTCCTGGCACCAGAGCGGCCACACGACTCTGCAAGGCGTCATGGACCACCGCCGCCCACGTCCCACTACAGACCGTCCACGGACCCATCTCCTCCGTCATTACCCCTTCGCGGCCGCACTGCCAGCGTACCTCCCTGAGCTGCTGCTCGGCCCGCTCCTCGGCCGTCTCGGTGCGGTACACGCCCTGGCGGCCGGCGTGGCGACGCTGGTGCTGCTCGCGCAGCTGCTGCACCCGCTCCGGACGACTGGCCGTCCTCTCGGGCGGCGGCGGCGGCGGGGGCGGCTGAGGCGCCTGTGCCACACCCAGGGTAGCCGTCAGTGGCGGTCACAGGAGCGGCACAGACGTCCACGAGTCACAGGAGCGGCGCAGACGTCAGCAGTAAGATCAAGAACGCGTGAGGACGTGCGAGGACCATGCAGGCGAGCGGGGACTGTCGTCACGAGAAGACGGCGTTCACATTGCTGACCGCATGCGATCCGTCCTCTGAAAAAACCTGCTGGACTGGGTTATCACGTATTCGTCGTGATCTGCCATACCGCACATCTAACGTGGTTGTATGGCCGATACCCAGAACCTTGGTGTTCCTGCATCACGCGAGCCATAATATACTACTGATGGCGCTAAGCCCGCGCACGGGCACTTGCGGCTGCTGCAGCTGTCGCAGCATCCCTCACCGGTCTGTGCGAATGCTGCTGCTGCTGCTGCTGGGCCTGCTGCTGCTGCTGCTGCTGCTGCTGCTGCTGTACCAGCCGCTGGTACTGCTGTTGGATGCGGCGCTGCTCGTCTTCGGCTCGGCGCCGCGCTGCGATCCTGTTGAGCTCGTCCTGCTGCTGGCGCAGCTCGTCAGCCGTCATCCGCGGCGGCGGACCAGACGTCTCGCTGCTCTTGCGGTGCCGACCGAACCTAACGCCGGCGGCGAAGGCGGAAGGTCAGAGCCACGCCGGCAGTGGCGGCAGCCGTGACGTCAGAGCCGCAACGGCCAGCACGACGGCGTACGAACATAATCATGGCATGAGATACGAAACGAAGTGCCGTATCTTTGACCTGTCAGTGACTTAACGTGCTCCCATCTTCGATTTGGATCGAGCAAGCAAGCTCAAGCATCAACTTCACGGGAAAGTTCCAACGCCCACACTTTTTCACCCTCGCCACATCAGCGAGTGAAACCGCAGGGCACGCGGGCATGCGACCCCCGTCCGGCCGCTGCGAGGCGGCTCCTCTGCTTACCTGAACATGCTGCCGAGTCCCCTGAGCAGACCCGAGCGTCGCTTGGCCTTCTTGCCCTCGACGGCGCCGGAGCTGAGCGAGCTCTGGCGGGCGGTGCGGTCCCGGCTGAAGAGGGCGCCGCCGGCGTCCGGCCCGGCCGCCTCCTCGTCCACTGCCGGTCCGACGGGTCACGGTCAGGGTCAGGGTCAGGGTCAGGGTCACGGCCAGGGGCAGGCGGCAGAAGGCGCGGCGCGATGCGATGGGCCACAGCCGGGTACGGGCACAGCAGCTTGGAACTGAGGTTATGGGGACTTCGAGGCACTCGGGACAAAATATGGTACGGTCATCAATCAAGAAGCATGTGATGTGATGCCCGTGATGTGTGCCGCAAGAGCAGCTCTTTAAACCTTTCAGTCTGATCAACAGTCATGTTCGCGTAACACACAAAGCTAACCGGACCGCGGGCAACAGACATACTGAAGAAGACGCCATTAACGCGATATCTTGCTAACCATGTCGATTCTGACTTAAATGCATGTGCTGATAATGATGGAGCCTTGATGTTCAACGCATCTTACACCATGTTTTACCCATCATCAGGCTCATGGTGAGGCTTCTGTATTGATAAACTGCTCAGAACGAACTGCTAATTACAACGCTAATTTTCGCTCCTCCAACATTAAACGCATGCAAAATATCACTGCGCAGTTTCACGTATTTTAAAAGAAAAGGCTACGGAAAGTTGGTGGAACAATGGAATGACATCTATGGCAATGCCACTTATCCCGTCAGATAAACTGACGGCAGAAAGGTAAGGGGAAAATCATACGCGAACAAGGAAAGGCCAACTCCATAGGCAAGGCAGACAGATCGGTGTTTGGAAGCCAAATAAGCACAAGTCGGCGAGCCACCAGAGCGTCAGACCATCTGTGTCGTCTCCCAAACCAACAATTAAGTCACCTTTTTAATCGATTCCATCCGACATCAGCCAACTTTAAGACGATTCTGTCTTTTGATCAGCCCGTTATTGTCAGTCCCTTTTGATCAGCCCGCCCGTTATTTTGTTTCCTTAGAGCACCGACATCTAGTCCCTGGTTATCCTTCCCCGGCCGCTGGTACTACTTGACCTCCGCCCCGCTCACCCGCTCACCCTTGACCTCCGCACTGCTCACCCGCTCACCCTTGACCTCCACTCTGCTCATCCACTCACCCTTGACCTCCGCCCCGTTCACCCGCTCACCCTTGACCTCAGCCCCGCTCATCCGTGACCTCGGCTCCGCTCACCCTTGACCTCCACCCCGCTCACCGGTTTCCATGACGTCACCGTTGTCGTCGCCCAGCGGCGCTTCGTAGCTGCGGTCGACGGCGGCGCGGAAGCTCTCGTTGCAGCCGCGGCCGCGCACCACCTTCACGGGGCCGCGGTGCGGGTACGACCGCTCGCCCTCCTCGGCCAGCGCCAGCTGGGCACAGGCGTGACCACAGTCACCGCACAGCACCGGCAGCCCGACATCATCAGCAGTCAGCTGAGCCAACCAGGGCACAGCCGCCACCAGTCACCGCACAGCACCGACAACTCAACGGCATCAGCAGCCAGTTGGCAGTGGTCAGCTGAACCAATGCGCGACGCGCGCCGTGATAACATCGAAACAATCATACACGGGCCAAGCATAAAAACAACTCAGCACTGCCGGCAAAATGTCAACCAAAGTACAGTATTAGGAAGCAGCCCATGTCATACGAGAACACGACCACTCCACGAAGCGATACGGAAGCCACAGCAGGTCGCGCCGCCCGATGCTGTCGACTGACCACCGCTTACCTCATGCACCATGGTCTGGAGCGACTCGAGGCTGGACGACTTCTTCATGCCCAGACTGGGACCGACGTCGTCTGCGGACGGACGGCCGAAGGTCAGACGACAGTAGCGGCACGCGCTGCAGCGGCACGGCTCGACCGCCGCCGGCGGCGGCGATGCTCTACGCCACCGCATCGTCTGACCGAGAGACGGAGCGCCGCCGCGTCCGCCCGCGTCGCCTCCCGCCCGGAGCGGCGCGCACACTGACGGCGGCGACGGCCCTGAGCTGCCCGCCGGCTGCCGACTGGCGCGCGCCGCCGGCGCCGCTCCGAGCGTGACCGGCCACAATGGAGCGGCGGCGGCGGCGGCACGCAACCGGGGGGCGGCGCGGCCCGCCGGCAGATCGGGAAAACAGTCCGGCGGCGGCCGACAGCGGGCCTCAGTCAGAGATAGCGCCCACAACGGTACCATGCCGGCCTCGGGCGGCGGGCTGGACAGGAAACTGAGCCGTGCGCTATCCCGCCGTGCAAGGTAATGGACAGGTAGGAACGGAACGCCTTCAGAGCAGATATCAGCCTTGCCGCTGACCATGCACGGCAGGCGCTGAGCCTTGTCCTTGGTGGACAGCTGCTGGAGGACCATATGATAAACACCCATTCCATGAGGACAGCGCTGCTGGAATAAAACAGGCACCCACACCAAAGCCGGCCGATCCGAGTGGATTCCGTGAGCCGAGGGGGCCGCCGGGCACAGACGAGCACGACACGCAGGCCTCCACCCGACCCGACACCTGGTGCCGCCCGGGAGCGGTGCGTGGCGCGGAGAGTCGGGTACTGCTCATGCGCGTACGTACTGGGCGGCTGGGGCGGCTCGGGCTGCGTTAGTGACTGGTGTGAGGCGCTGCATCCGCCGTCGGTGGCCGCGCGTCCTGGCGACACGCCCGGACAGGCGCGGCTCAGCGCCCCCGCCGACACGCGCACACACACGCACACTCGCAGCGGATGTGTTAACAGGCAGACAGAGGCTGAACGTACTACTACCCTCACCCGTACACATCAATGCCTCGACACACAGACACACAACCCGCGTGGGTTAAATTGTTATCTCGTTCAAGTAAGAAAATGTTAGTTGAATCGCAACAAGTCGGTTAGTCACAGCACACAGTATACGCAAGGACGACGTAGGGAGCATGAAGCAGAAGGTTACGGCACATCTGACGACCTGCCAGAAGAACGTACCACGACGGCTTACTGCCCGGTCTATGCTCTCAGACCCGTACTGACAGCCAGCCCCTGACCTTCCGACCGGCTGCAGGTCAGACTCTAGCCCGGTCTGACCTCGCACCCCTGGACCAGAGCCTGACCCGACCTAAACCCTGGACCGAAGCCTGCCTGACCTCGTATCCCTGGACCGAAGCCTGTCTGACCTCCCACCCTGCACAGAAGCGTCTAACCTCCCACCCTGGATCAGAGTCTGACCTGACCTCGCATCCATAGACCAGGAGTCCTGTCTGACCTCCCACCTCGAACAGAAGCCTGTCTGACCTCCCTCCCTGGACCGGAGTCTGTCTGACATCCCACCCTGAACCGGAGCGGACCTGACCTGCCCCCCCGGATCGGAGTCTGATCTGACCTGCCACCCTGGACCGGAACCTGACCTGACCTGCCACCCTGGACCGGAGCCGGACCTGACCTGCCACCCTGGACCGCAGCTGACCTGACCTGCCACCCTGGACCGGAGCAAGACCTGACCTGACCTCCCACCCTGAACCTAAGTCTGACTTAGCCTGCCACCCTGGACCGGGTCCTGACCTGACCTGCCACCCTGGACAGGAGTCTGACCTGACCTGCCACCCAGGACCGGAGTCTGACCTGGCCTGCCACCCTGGACCAGGGCCTGACCTGACCTGCCACCCTGGACAGGAGTCTGACATGACCTGCCACCCTGGACCGGAGTCTGACCTCGGCCTGCCACCCTGGACCGGGTCCTGACCTGACCTGCCACCCTGGACCGGAGTCTAACCTGACCTGCCACCCTGGACCGGGGCCTGACCTGACCTGCCACCCTGGACCGGGGCCCGACCTGACCTGCCACCCTGGACCGTTGCCTGACCTAACCTCTCACCGTGGACCGGGACCTAACTGACCTCCCACCCTGGACCGGGGCCTGCCTGACCTCCCACCCTGGACCGGGCGACTGCCTGACCTCTCACCCTGGACCGGGGACTGCCTGACCTCCCCCCCCTGGACTGGAGCCTGACCTGGCGGCCGGCCGTCGTGCGCCTCCTCCCGCCGCAGCTCGGCCTCCAGCAGGCGGCGCTGCTGCTCGCGCTCCTCGCGCGCCCGCTTGGTGCGCTGGTACGTGTCCGTGCTCTTGGCGTCCTTGGACGCGTGCCGCTTCTCGCTGATGGACTGGCGACCCAGTTGATCGCGGGTAAAACCTACGCCCGCCTGCTCCAGCGACGTCCTGGCGGCGGGGGGGGGGGGGGGCGCTGCGTCACCGTCCGCCCGGGCTGGCAGGGGAGGCGCCTCTCGCGTGCGAGGGAGAGGCCGCTGGGGGCTGGCAGCGGACGCGCCTCTCACGTGCGAGGGGGAGGCCGAGACGTGATGGTCCAACCGGGGCTTGCAAGGGAGACGCCTCACATACGCGCACACATGTCCCACGCATGACACACGCAGCGGACGGAACAAACTGCAACCCACCAGGGAACAAAACCACGGCGGCGTCACGCAGGGATAGCAAGCAGCCATGTGGTCCAGATCCTATGACCTTAAGAACACAAGGCGTAACCATAACCATCGTAACCATCTGCGAGATGTTCAACGTCTGCCAGATGGGCGCACGGTTACACCGCAAGTCACCCAAATCAAGATCCGGCACAGAACTTCATACACTACCTTATAAAACCATATGCAGATAACTTCCGAGGCATTATCAAAACCACAACCCCTGACCACGAGATCGTGGTATCTGACGGCGATCGACTGCCCCTTCCAATCACTGGTGGCACCGCCCGTGTCGCCCGCGTGTTTCCGAGGCCCCGCCGTCCTCCGACCGGCAGTCGACTCACTGGCTGGCGTAGGCCACGTCCGTGTTGGAGTCGCTCTGCTGGCTGGCGAGCGAGGCCGGCGCCGGGTCCGTCTCGATCAGCACCGTGTCGCCGGACGGCATGTTGACGGTGGGGCAGAGCGGCGGCGCGCCCCGCTCCGGCTCGGCCGGCGGCAGCCGCTGCTGCTGCTGCTGCTGCTGCCGCTCCGGCGCGTCCGCCCACGAGCCGTGCGTCGCCTGCCGGGACGAACCGCCGGCCGGCGTTCGTCAGCGGGTCGGGCGCTCAGCGTCAGGCGCGTGAGCATGGAAGGGGGGGAGGGGCGGGGACGGAGGGGCGAATGGTAGCAGCGTATCTGCGACCACTGGGCGCGGATAATGCGAACGTGGACTGGCGCAGAGCACGACCGGCTGGCACCGAATCTGACCAGCGGGACCACATCACTTGTAACTTGCTCGTCGGGTGGGACGACAGTCCCAATAATTTACTGTTTCCTGCAACTTTCGCCTTTAGCAAGAAGCCGCACACAACAAACCGCAGTCACAAACCCGCCAGCACCCGCGAAATCCACGCACGGTGGATGGACCCCCGCCCCACCCACCATGTAGTAGCTGTCGTTGCGCATGTTGTTCCGGCCGGTGAGACGGTCGATGACGGGGTTTCTGCCGGGCGGCGGCGCCGGCTCGGCCGGCACCGGCGGCGGCGCCCGTCGGTGCGTGATGGTGACCTCCGAGCCGTCGGCGGCGGCCGGCTCCGGGCCGCGCCACGCCGACACCTCGCCTGCCACCGCGGGGCGGCGCCGTCACCACAAGGTCGGCAGCACGCCATAGGTCACGGAGCGGGCGAGCGGCCAGAGGTCGGCCGCCACTGACTGGTACATACGCCCCTACGCCACTATCACCTGTCTCTCAACGCACACACACTGTGCTTCCAGCTGGATCTGACAAATTCGAGACAAATACCACACACTGACGCGATTCAGTTTCCACATCACATGGGTTTAACGGGAGCCAAATGCGCTACAAAATAACTACATGCCCTGCAGACTCCAGAAGCCACAAATGGATACACAACACTACCGGCCCTCCAGCCAGGCGTACGATGAGCCGGAACTGCCCCAAAGGCGTGATCCCGCGCCGTCTGAAGCCGGTGTGAGGAGACCCGACTGACCTGACGAGCTGGAGATGAGGCTGCTGGCCGACTCGCGGCCATTGCTGAGAGCGGCGTCCCTCCGCCGAGCCACCGTCAGCGTGATCACCCCAGGCCTCGGGCCCTGCACATCAGACAGACCCGTCAGCCCACTGAACACGCCGCGGACCGACCACCGCCGGCTGCCGCACGCCAGACGCGCCCGTCAACCGACTGAACACGGCACGGACCGACCACCGCCGGCTGCTGCGCACCAGACAGACCTACCATCCGACTGAACACGGCACGGACTGACCACCGCCGGCTGCCGCACGCCAGCGCACTCGGGCCCTCCGATGTGTTCGTTCCAGTATTTCCGTGCGATAAAAACAACATAAAAACGGAAGATCATTGGGGATATGTACCAAATCACCTCAGTGACAGACAAGCATACCTTAAGCATGGACCCAGCGCGGCAGATTCACTGACAACTCTGTTAACCTTTTACCCATAAGCATAACGTCGCGGATTCCTACATCGAGTGTCTCCGTCGTTCTCGGTTTTGTTTCAGACTAGCGGAACAGAAATGCTTCGTGCCAACGGGGGCAATGAGGACGAAATCGACGCTTTTGCGTCACATCGTTGTCTTTGATTTCAATATTATTTTCCCCGCAATATTCTCGAAGTGTGTTTTGGAAGCATCTGAGTGAATAAGAAGCGCAATAGATTATCACCTGCAGGGAAGTATTGAATGACATAGTCCATCATGTCTTCCGGAATATCAGCCAGTGGTCGACAGGCTGTCTGGTATACTACGTCATCGCCATACACGACCGCCTTATTCATGCATTTGCTTTGAAGTTTAGGAATAATCTGAATGTTAAAATACGGTTTTCGGACACGAAGGCAAATATATATATACACTGGTCCCCCACCCCGATCTGAGATAAAAGGTGTTTGTCTCATCTCCCAAGCCCATCCGCGACCCGATATTTGGGCGATGGGAACGGAAGCCATGTCCTCATTAATATCCGCAGACCAAATTCAGTGAGTGAGGATCACATCTGCACGAATGACAAGCCACCATAGCCAGGGAAGAAAGCCAGATTCTGCACCACGGTTGAGCCAGGACCACCATTTTGTTGACATGACGTCACCGCCTAGCGTAACCTCACACCAGAATAGGTTCCAGCCATGTTTATTTGTACCGGCAACGGTCGGTGGCCGCGGAACATCGTGGAGAAGTCGGTCGCCGCATTTTTAGCACAGGGAGACACCGAAACTTAAAAAGGCGCCCGAAACGCGACCGAAACGCCAGTAGCCACACATAACCTCCCATCTGTTATCTGCTCACGGTCGTGGGCGGCGGCAGCCATTGCAGCCAGCGAAAACAGGATCGGCAGTAGCCAACCATAACCCGGGCATCACCTGCGGCCGGCCTGGCCCATGGCCCGCCGCAGTGTCCATGGTCCGGCCGAAACACGGCCCATCCTCATCACGAGCCACTAGCCGCCCATAACCCGACACCGTGTCCGCTCCGGCGTCACATGGTACGGCGCGGCGCGGCGCACCGTGCTCCATGGACGGGCCTGACCTATCAAACGGCGCCTCGCGTATCCCAGGTCACATTAGAGGAGTGCGGCCATTAGCTGCCCATAACCCGGCGCTCGGTGCACCGACTCACCTCCTGGCACATGGCGCGCCGCAACGTCTCCATCGCCTGGCCGTTGCTAAGGCCGAGCAGGGCGCTATTGTTTATATCGATCAGCTGATCGTTGTGCTGCAGCCGGCCGTCCTTGCTTGCTGCGCCGCCGTGGATGACGCTCTTGATGAAGATACCAACGTCCACGGGGCCGTTCTTGCCCGGCGTCGTCTTGCCCTTGACGCTGACACCTGGCGGATATGGGGCGAGGCGGTGCTTTACCGAACGCTGCCTAGGTGCGTATAGATACGAGCATTTCTTCCATTTCCGCAACAGCACCCTGATGGCCTCCCACTTGCTCAAGTCGTATGAGCGTTCTTTGGCCGGGTATTACAGACAGTCCAGACGGTTTCAGACAACACAAACGCCGTGCAGCTCACCGTTCTCCCCCCGCAGCTCACGCACTTCTCACAACTGGCCGACCCTGTCACGGGCCAGAGGCGCTCCGCAGCCAGCCGACTCACCCAGCCCGGCGCGCTCCGAGTCGTGCACGGGGATGTCGAACACGAGCACCTCCTTGTCGGTGACGCCGGCCGGCTCCTCCTGCGCCGGCTCCGGCGGCTGCCGGACGGGGGCCGGTCAGAGCGGGCCGAAGCGGGCCACCTCCCAGCGCCGGGCCGCCCACGGGCGCGTCAGCCGACACAACAGCGGCCCCAGCTCAGCATTCCGCCCGGGGGCAGCGCCGCGCGCGCACACGACACCACGGCCTCGCAGCCCGCGGTTACTCCAGCAGCCGTGCTGATTTACGAGGGTAAGCCACGCGTACGCAAAACGCCCTTTAAGCATTCGATGTTGCAACATGCAGACCGGAAGTGGGCAGCGGCAGGTGCAGCACGCGCCGCCTACACAGGTATCTGATCAGTTCTGAGAGTCAAGCGTCACCTGCACTGGCGGCTGCTTGCGAGCGCATGTATGGGTACGCGACATTCAATGTGAATTGCTGTGTTCTGGCCCCGATTGGATGTAGCGTGCACGGTGTGTCGGTGTCTTGTACCTTTGTCCATGTTGTTTTCTCGGCAGGCGGTGCGGTGCTCGCCTAAAATAGAGCGTCACCGGTCAGACGAAATGTTCCCAACAAATAAGGCACCACTGTCATGCTGGAAGAAACCCAGAAACCAGGACACGCCCGCATATTCGCCGATACAGTCATCGAATAATAAGGTTCTGGGAGGGGTATCGCTCACAGGAAAGCTCCGATGGATCTCCACGATGAGGGAAAGCCTTCCCCGCTGAAGCGGGGGACCGCGCTGGCCAGCTGTACCCACCAGCGGCCGGGGCAGCCGGGGACTAGCCTCGTCGGCCTTCTTGTCGTCGGGCTGCTCGTGTCGCGAGAGCACCAGCTCGACCGGCTGTCCGGGCACGACGGCGCGCAGCATCTGCACCACCTGCTGCTGGCTGAGTCCGGTCACGGCCGCGCCGTCGATCTCCAGCAGCCTGTCACCGGGCCGCAGCCGGCCGTCCTCGATGGCGGCGCCCTGCCGAGCACGAGCACACGCACACGGCCGTCACCCAGCGCCGGCCGCGCGAGTCAGCCGCGGGCCGCCGCCGGCCCCGACGACACCGTACCGCTCGGCTGGACGCAGTGCGGCGCGTTGCACATTTTAAGAAGCGGTATATGAAAACAAAACCAGAGGAAAGGACGATACATTTAGACGGAGTTTCATGCGAATGTGATAACGCGACGGACCCAACGGAGGGGCAATCCAGCAACGCACACATACCAGTATCCCAGCCGGGACGTTATCACGGTCAGCTCCATGTGCAGGCACGCAGGACAGGAGGTACCTTTGGGCCTCGGATCACGGGGCGCGAGGTGATGGAGTGTTCGGGAGATGAGGACCATCATGGATAGATTCTGGGAACAGCGCAGTGGATGAAACACAACACAATGACCACACAGAACGCATTTCTCCGCATGATACCACATGCAAGCATAAACCACGACAGGGAAAGTCTGACACCTCGCCACCTGGACCTCGACACTGGACGACAACAAAGACTCGCACTCTCGACGCTTTGCATGTGCAAGGCCCCGTGAAGGCCCACCGTCCCGGAGGCACCGTCCCACAGCCGTGTCGCGGGCGCCGCCGCCCACCGGCGGCCGGTCGGCTACCTTGGGCAGGATGTTCTTGACGTAGACGGGCGCGTGGCCGCCGGCCGGGTTGTCGCGCGTGGTCACGCTGAAGCCCAGGCCGGCGGCGCCCTTCACCAGCGCCACCGACAGCCGGCGGCCCAGCTTGCGCGTGTTGGACGTCAGCATCACGTTCTGCGTGCGCGACGACAGCGAGGCCGGCACCTTCTTGGTCGGCGTCACCGTGGCCACTCGCGAGCCGACTGCCGGCGCGGGCAGGGCGTCAGTGGGGGTCTCCGCGCTGCTACGGAGGAGCGCGGGAGACGCGACGACCGGGGCCCGGCAGACATGCGCTCGTCCGCGGGCCTGGCGGACGAGCTCGTAAACCCGCACTGTGTCCATTCGATGTGCCGTCGCAACACAACAAACAAAGCGCATCCGAAAATGAGGAAAAACCCATGTCTAAAATAAGGGTCACATCAGGCCACCACAACCAATATAACCAATGAGCACACAAGCCAACATCTAAGTACCTCACAGAGGTGTCACTCTAGTCAACCGCAGCCAATCACCAGTGACGAGGCGTTTTGCTATCACAATAGCGCCGACAGCGCGCTCCGTCCGCCACACCACGGCTGGCGACGGCCCGTCCGCCGGCCTGACCCCGCCGGCCAGGTGCGTACCTTTCTCCTCGGGCGCGACGCCGTCGACGGGCGTGTGGGAGCGTGACCGCGCGGGCCGGGAAGACGGGCGCCGGCGGCCGGGCGGCGGCGGCGCTCACTGTCAGCCGCAGCTCGCCCTGGCTCATGGCCATCGTGAACAGCTCCTGCGCCCTGCCGGTCGGAGCCAGGCCCGGTCAGCGACACGCGCACACACACACACACCGATCGAGTAGGCGGGCGGGCGGGCGACGACCCGGACAACACACGGCGGACATGGCCGGAGTGGTGAGCGTGGAACAGTCCGCTGGCGCCGGAGGACACTGAGGTCGTGTTGTCACAGCGATCCCAGTCGGCATGACCGGCAGCTTCAGGCGGGGGCAAAACTAACGACGTTTCAATGGGCAGGCCAGTCCAAAAACGGCGATAAGTACGCCACACGGACGTGGCACACCAATTTGCGACGACTCGTGAGCGTGCAGTAACCACACGCTGCCGTGCCACAAACGGCACAACATCCGGGGGACGCACGCTAAGTTCAATGACTGCTGCACAGAAAACAAACCATGCCCGCATTAAGAAGCCGTGCTCGGCTCGGGCGCATGCCAGCACATGACGCAACGGGCGAGAACCGTTATAATCCGTCCACAGAACACATCACGCGGCAAAGCAGCACAAGGCGGCCGACCACTGTCGCACCGTTAGCGCCAAGGTCCCGGCCGTCGGCGCGCCGGCAGCGCGGTCGCGCGGGACGCCGAGGAGCGACACGCCGGGGAGCGGGACGCCGGGGAGCGACACGCCGGGGAGTGAGACGCCGGGGAGTGGGACGCCAGGGGTGGGGAGCACACCGGGGAGCGGGACGCCGGGGAGCGACACGCTGGGGAGTGAGAAGCCGGGGAGCGACACGCCGGGGAGTGGGACGCCGGAGAGTGGGACGCCAGGGGTGGGGGGCACACCGGGGAGCGGGACGCCGGGGAGTGGGACGCCAGGGAGTAGAACGCCAAGGAGTGGGACACCAGGGGGGCGGGTCGCCGGGGAGCGGGACCCGCGCCCGGCCGACTGGTGCATCGCTCGACGGACCACCAATCCAGCCTGACCGCTCACACGAGCCACACGGCGCGCAGGCTAGTGCGTGGACAGGACCGGATTTCTACTCGATGTGACTGAATCTTGATTATAGCGCAATACCCTGCTAACCATTCCAGCGTCAGCACCGAACGTCAGCACCCTAACCTATCCTGCCCAGAACACTCCGTCATCCGCATCTCGGGGCTGGCCCGTAGGCGCACTGGAGGCCAACCCCACCTTTGGAAGCTGCAGCCGGCCAGACTGTGGCCGTTGATCTGGGAGATGCGGTCGCCGACCCTGATGCGTCCGTCCCTGTCCACGGCGCCGCCCGCCTCCACCCGCTGCACCAGCACGCCGCCGTCCCAGCCGCCCGCGTCACACTCGGACACCACGTGGATACCTGGCGGTGCGGTGTCCGGTCACACACAGGCGTCACGTCACGCCCGGCTACAGCGAGCGAAGTCACACCCGGGTGGCGTTCGGGGATCTGATGGCGAGGGGCTTGTTATCGGACACCAACCAGGCGCCTGGCAGAACAACATCCAGCCAACCCTCACGTCAAGGTCGAAAAAGGCACGCAGCTTAACAGGTACGTGACAGTAACGGCAACATCGACAAGGCCATACACCACCCGCTGTCAGACGGCGGAACGGCACGCACGCCTGCCAACCTGAGGGGAACCGTTCATCTCTCACACCTTGTGCCCACTGCTTGTACCCCACCTAACGCTAACATGACAACAACGCGCCCGCTCGCCAGTGGATCAAAGGCCGAAGAGCTGACTAAGGAGTCACGACTGCCCGTCAGCCAGCTCACGTCGGCCGTATGGTGCCGCGGACGCGGCTGCCCACACCGGCGGGCGCCGGCGCGCCGGCTCCACTGACCGAGGGGACCCTGGATGTCGGTGAGCACGACCAGCTGCGTGGCGGCCGGCTCTCCCTGCTCGGGCTCCTCGTCGCTGGAGATGTCCGGCGAGACGGCGCCGCCCACCGGCTCGCGCCGCTGGTCCCGGGCGCTCAGCACCCGGTCCGCGGCTTCCGCCCACCTGGCGACCGAGGCAGGGGCACACGGCAGGTCAGAGCGCGTCAGGCTGAGGTGAGGAGGTGAACCAACCACGCACTGATCAAAACATAGCTCGGCTACCAGCCATCGGCCGTTCTAAAGCCGGGATCCATGGCGCGTTGACGCCTTAGAGCTCAGCTCTGCGCGTGACATGGACGCGCAGCTGTGGCAGGAGTCTGAAGCCCTTTACGCGCCGTGCCGCTGGGCCCCGACCGGTCTGCGGCGAACGTCTGACGGCGGCACCCCGTCACAAGACAGCAACCACAGGCGGCGGTAACCCTGATTGACCTGTGACAACACCTCCAGCCCGTCGGGCAGCGAAGCCTGACTCACGCCGCGCGTAGCGTCTCAGCTCCAGAAGTGCCTAGCTCACTCCCGCGCATTGTTCACGACGGCTGACATTATCATAGTCGTCATGTGGTCATGTTTCTTAACCACATCCCAACCCTGTCATTTCAGATTGCACAACCACCTCTATCTCTGCCAGTCAATTAATACAATCACGTATGCATAGCCTGTTGACCGGACATAACACTTGATGAAGCTTCAAGGCGCATCCATTTCTGAAAAGCGCGTGCGCTCTTCAAATTTACGACGTCCGTACCAATCAGTCTCACGCGGCGTCTGTACCAGCATCACCAATTGGTGCGCGTGAGGAGACTGTGCATGTTTTTCATTGAGATGCACCATGCGGACTGCAACCCGGCGAGCCCGCGAGCCAAGCTCGGCCACTTTCACCCTGCGAACCCGGGCTTGCAGGCCGCTGCAGCAGTTTGACTGCACCGCTAACCTCAACTACGGCGTCCTCGCTCGGCTCCAATCCCGCAAAACCGCTGACGTCGACAGCAGTTCGGAGCCCCAGCACCCTCCCGCCAACCGCCACCCGCGCGCGCCCCGCCACCCCCGCCTCTCGGTAAACGCGCCATTTCGCGGCAGGCTCGCGGCTTTTGGCGGGGAAAACGGCGCGGTGCGGCCGGTTACGCGAGCCAGCCTTACGTCGACGGCGGCGCGCCGAGGTGGCGGGGTCGGTCGCAGGTGTGGCGGGGTTGGCCGCCGGGTCAAACCACGATGACCCCAGACGTGGCTCGGATGACGCCGGGCCCTCGGCGGAGGGCGCGGCACCGGTCGGCCGGGGCGGGGGCGTCACGGCGGCGGGGCCGGAAGCCAGGGCCGCGCGCGCCGGCGCGCTCCCGCGGTGCCAGGCTGGCGCCCAGGGCCGCTCCCGACAAACAGCCGGGCCGTCACGACCGCGGCCGCCGGCTCGTGCCCCGGCCCAGACACTGCGGCGCTGCTGATGCCGCGCGAGGAAGGGCGTGACACAGCGAAACGGCCGCAACGGCGAAAGGCACTCATTTCGGAGAAGTCGACAAGAGATACGGCCACACGACACGAGCGGGGACGTCTCACGGCGTGCTGCGACTGCCTTGCAGAAGTGGGGAAGCCGCGGTGCCGCGGGGATGGGTCGTCTCACCCCTTACGAACGCGCGCCGAGTGTAAAAACAAACATAACATGGAAGACCACCGGCTCTCACCATCGCAGTGCTCGGACGACGCACGCTACCCCACCGCCACGCGACAGCAGCTCTACGCTCCGCCGAGGTGTGCGGGAGGCCTTTGTTATGGTGATCGCGGGGATGTTGAGAACGGCGCGCAGCTGCGACTGCGATGCGCGTACACATCTCCTACCGGCGCGCCCATCACAATCTGGTGAGGAGCTGCGGTGTGTCCGCCACATCCGCTGAATACACGGCGTGGTGCGCATGTGGTACGCACCGGGCCCTCTTGACTTCTCACTGGTGTCGAAGGCCTCTCACTAGCCGTGGATTTCATTGGCAGACATCCCGCCCCGCTCCCCGGCCGTACCTCGGCCGCAGCTCCGGCCGGCGGCGCCGGCGCGGCTCCCCCAGCCGTGCCTGGGTCGCAGCTCCGGCCGGCGGCGCGGACGCTACTCACCTCCACATGCTGTCGCTGTTGCCGAGGATCTGCATGGAGAGCCGGTTGGAGCGGGGTGAGCCTGGGCAGCGTCAGCCGGTCGCGCTCGTCGCCGGACGGCTCGCCGCGCTCGCCGGGCGGCGTCAGCGGGTCGCAGCTGGCCGTCTGCAACAACCGAGGCGCCGCTTAGTACCAGGCTGGCCGGGCGGTGGCGGCCCGAGGCGACCGGCGGGCCCGGAACACGACACGGCCGCGACCAAACCAGCCACACATACATACACTCGGGCCAATCGAAAGCTTCTTTGAAAAAATGTGCGGTCGCCACATAACATGCCATACCAGATATCATCGCCATCCATGGTATACTGTATGCGTATCGCTACACAGTAGTAATAGATTAACAGCAGGCATTCGCCGCTACAATGGACAAACCAGCCAACTGCGTAACGAGGTGAAACTCTGCGGGGTGCGCCAGCTGCTCGAATATGAAGAAATTGTCCTTTCTGCATCTCACATGCACAGCACTTCTCTGGGGTTTCCATCGGGTTTCCGCGTCACGGCACATCTTGTTTACAGGTTTGCCAGCATTGGTATAGCCGCAATACTGTTTTGTTTCAAAATACAGTCCTATTACTGCGAGTTATCAGGATTCCTCTGGAAGTGTTCATGAAGAGCAAACTACTACTACCCCGAGCTGGGGCCAGGTGGACACAACCCTCAAGGCACGTATGCATTATGCTACCTGCAATCTACAGCCGGTCGTGAATGTTATTGTCCGCAGCAGCTGGTGAACGCTAGTGTTCGCAGCAGCTGGTGTGCACAAAGATAAATTTGCCACCTGTTACGCCATTGAAAGACCGTCGAGTTTGTGCATGGTGCTGAAAGAAAGGTGCTGGTGTTGGAAAAGCTTTTTAACCTTGCAGCTCTTGCAAAAGGGCACCGCAAAACATGATTACTACTTTCCTACCATACCTTTTCCCTGTCCTTCGATCGGACCGTCACCCTGCACTCCCACCGGCACTTAGCAGGCCATGCAGGCGCCGCGTGACCGACTGAGCACATCGCCGAGCGCCGTCTGCCAGTTTCATCAGAGCGCCGTCATGGCAGGCCTCGGACGAGCCGTCCCGATTTCTCATCTCCACTGTCCGACGTGACTGAAATCTGGCGGTCGGCGCGCGCGGCCAGTTGGCGGCGGAGCGCGGCTCGTGCCGGCGCACACCGTACCGGCGCCGCTCGTCCGGCGCCAATCACGGCGCCCCGCCGCGCCATTAGCCGGCGCGATGAGCAGCGGCACCGGTGACCTCTGTCGGCCGGGCCGATCATGCCGGGACGGCTGAGACGCACACCGGCCGGCCCGCGCCCGTGCGTCAGAACACTGGGTCATCAGCCGGCCGGCGCCGGCACGGACCGGGACCCTGCGCTGCTCGAGACGGAGCGGAGCGACCCTGCGCACGTCCCGACAGCTGCTCTGTAACTCGGCCGGGGGAGGGGGCAGAGCTATCGTACACAGCCGGTGGCCGGGCGGGTGGATTGCAGCGTTCATGCCCCAACGTGCGCCACGCTCGCCACTTCAGGCGGCGCTACTGGCTCAGGAGCGTCCCGCTCTGGTCAGGACTCGCACCGGGCCCTGATCAGGTCAGCGGTCGCCGGGGCTTCCCGCGCGGGGTCAGGAGCCGCCCCCTCCCAACCTCCGGTTAGGACTCGCTCCGGGCCCTGATCAGGTCAGCGGCCGCCGGGGCCTCCTACGCAGGGTCAGGGGCCACCGCTTCCCCAGCGGCGCGTCTGGGTTGACCGGTGCCGTGGCCAGGCCATCAGCATCAGCCCGCTGCCACACCGCCGTCTGCCACATCCACAGCCGGCCGGGCCGCTTTGCTCGCGGAAACCCCAGACAGGCGAACGGCATACGGCCGACGACCTCATAGGAAAAACTAGTTTGGAAGCTTTGGATGACGTTAATGGAAAGTTAAAGATGGCATAAATATATTTTCTGCAACGCAAATAGCCACCCCCACACCACTGTGATCGCTGAGGCAGGTGCCCGGGAGAGGGAAATCCACTCAGAAGCTGCCCTTATCCGGGGGCGCAAAAAGCCGACTAATCTCAGTTCCGTGCCAGCATACGCCCACTGTTCGCGTCGGTTGCGTGCCGTCAGTTTAGACAACAGTCAACGCAACGCGATATGTTTATCGCCTTTATCCGCACCAATGATTTACCTCTGAGACCTTGGCTTTACGGCCCAGCACGCTGCAGTCTACGACAGGGACAAGAAACATCCTCCCTGTCGTGCCTGTCTCCACGACAATATTTATGGCGATCCGTTTCGAAGAAAAACAACGCGTTTCCCTGCCACTGCCAGTGTCAACGCAGCTATGGCGACTGTGGCTTGGCGACATCGCAAGCGCGCACTCACGCCATGCACCAGCCGCATCAGACCGCCCCGAGGTCTGGCGTAAACAAAGCCTACACCTCACGAGCTCAAACCTCGCCTCCAAGACGGCGGCAGCAGCAGCGCCTTAAATCGCTCCAGCTGAGTCATACTCCACGGTTCGCGTCCACCGCCGCCCGGCGCCGAACACGGGGTCATTTGCCGGACCGTCGCCAGCTTGTAGCCCACCTGTCGGCCACCTGACCGCCAGCGCGCCGCGCGGAAGGGGTGACGAGGCATCGGCCGGCCGGTCCTCGTCACGGCGCGCCGGACACTGCGTCACGTGACTGATCGGTGGGGGCGGGGCACTGGCCGGCAGCGGCGGCTCTGCGCCAGATGGGCAGCTCAGACACAACGCCGGGCTAAAACGCCGCCGAGCATTCAGCTACTGACGAGTCTGGGAGTGTGACGTCACACCTCTCAGAGCGCCCGGCGACCCTGCCGCCCGTCTCACCGACAGGAAATGACGTCACCCAACTGATGCAAGCATGTATGGGGGTACGTCGGTAAAAATGCAAACCCTTTCCCGGGCTGCACACTCTGGCTGACAGCGGCCCCGACGGGGTTTCCAGCCGCCTCCTGCTCCCACCACTCCGACCTCGCGTCCGCAGGAACAATGCGCAGCGCCACGAGTCGGCAGCTTTCACGAGACGCGCCGGGTGCCGTCACGGGGCAGGCGCGCCGCCGGCCGTGGCCGTGCGTCACGACCTCGCCCGGCCGCCCGGCCGACACCGCCGCCCGGCCCGGCCCAGCGGTTTCTACACCGGCCGCGCCAGTGATAAGGACCCTTTCGCGGGCTGTTTTTGAGGATGCGGCGCACTGCCAGGCGCCCTGCGCAGCACGTGCGCAACCTGTTTGCTGGATCTTTGAAGGTCAACACGCACCTTGCAGGGCTTTGATTTGTGCGATATACGTACTCTCGCGTCAGCGTTACTGCAAAATGAAAAAGGGCATTGCCCAAGCACTGCACTCAAGAATGGAGGGCAGAAACCCAAGGCGCATAAGACGGAGTAAGATATATAAATCAATAGCACTAACCTGGCCAGCAAGATCAGGTAACCTTTAACAAAAAACGCAACTTGACGCCAAAAAAGAAGAAATCGACAGAAGCTCAAGGCCTTTCTTGCTTCCATCACGGTAAACGGACACTCACAACGGGAAAACTGTGGCTCGCTCCGTTCTGCCGGATCTGTCGTACCGTTGGAAACGACGGCACCAATCAGAGCCCGACCAATGCGTGTCTGAGGGCGGATCTGAAACCTACCGAACGCTCCTGTTTTTGCCACCGTTTTTCCGTCGCCACTGGTCAATTCCAGGGCATGCATCAGACACACACAATAAAAATGACCATAAAATGTGATCCGAACCAGGTAAAAAGCTTTGATGCAACCCTCGAATTCAAGCTCTCCACAGCTCTGACACGCCTTTCACTACCGGCTGGCTATCATGTGCCAACCCTGCACGCGCAGCGCGCCCGCCGCATCCGACACCACGAAAACACGGGCCGCCCCGCCACAAAAAGGGCGCGCGTCGCGGCCGCTGGAGCGGCCGGAAGCCCGTGCTGACGGGCGGCAGGGGGTCGCCGGCACCGCACCGGACGCGGCCCGGGGTCAGAGTCCCGCCGGCGGTGTGTGGGGCTCGCCGGCGGCGCTGCACGCCGAGGTCAGGTGAGGCCCCGACGAGTTCACATGGGACGGGTCACCTTCACAGGACACGTGAGGCTAGCAAGCGCGGCGGAGACGCCGGTCAGGCCGAGCAGCGCCAGCGGCTCCGGCTCCAGCCCCGGCCCCGGCCCCGGCGCCGGACCAGTCCCCGGCCAGCTCATGGTCAGGTGGCCGCCGCCGCCGGCACCCTCACGACACCGACCGTATGCGGGCCGACACGGCACGGGCCGGCCGTGCGTCAGGGAGAGACGGAGAGAGAGAGAGAGAGAGAGAGCGGCGACGGGAGGCGACTCACCTGCTCCGACCGGCCGCTGCTCGGGACAGCACCACCGACTAGTCTCGCCAGCCCAGCGCCGATCAGCCGGAGCACCTACCGATGCTGCCGGCGACGCGGCCGTCTCCGAGCTCACAGGGCACCGAGCACGCACTGGCGGCAGCCCCGCCGGACCGAGCCGGGCTGGACCGCGGCGTGACTCGGCGCAGTGGGCGGGCCCGCCGCTTCCGTCGCCGGCGCGTGATTTCCGTCTCGGCACCACCGAATCAGCCCGGCCTGGTTCCGGGACCGGGCGGTTCAGCGAACCAGCCTGCATGAATCAGCTCGGAGGCAGGCGCCACCGGAGACAGGCGATCCGTGCAAGACGGCGGCTCCCAGCGCGGCTGTCGCGCTGGGGCCGCTCAACCGCCCACCGGCCCGGCGCGAGCGCGCTCCGGTCCAGCGGCGGCGCCTGACCAGCTGGCGGGCGACCTCGCTCCCGAAAGCCAGCACCGGCGCGGGGCGGGCGAGGGGCGCACGAGGCGCGCCAGACCGACGGTCCGCAGACGGCCGCTGCGTGCGGAGCAGCGCGCTGAACGTCCCTGGCGGCGGCGCTGCTGCCCCCTCAGGTCACGTGCGGCCGGCGGCGGCGCGGGGCGGCGCCGCTGGCGTGCCCGGCGCCGCTGCAGCCGCCGCCCAAGGCCCCGATTGGAATCGCCGCCGGCCGGGCCGCCGCGTCGCCCCAAACAGGGCCGTGACGTCACGACACCGGTGGGCAGCGGCGCCGGCGGCCGCACGCCGCGCCGAATGCCGGCACGACAGCGGCGGCGACCTTGATTTCACCGGCGCCCGGTCAGTCGGCCGACCCGATCGGCCGGCCGGCCAGGCAGCGCGCCTCCGAGCGCCGAGAATCCACTCTCGGCCGAGAACGGCGGCCGAGCCGTGGCTGGCGCGCCGTCGGGAGCGGAGGGAAGCGGTCCCCGCCGACCGCCGAGTTACGCCGGCCCGCAGAATGGCCTCGATGTGACGCGAGTGCCGCGCATTCTCGTCGTTAGGATCCGACGCATACTTCTAATTCCTACCCAGAACGTGGGAGTACCGGCACACTTAACGGGTATACCTGTTACCCTCATCCATTCACGGCTCCCATACTGACTTTTCTGAGGTAGTCAATTACAACACCAATCGAGCGCTAACGACATATTGGGGCTATCAGAGCTGTCGTTGTGCGCAGCTGCGGCCGAGTCGCTGACACTGGTGCGAGGCCCCGCCATTCTTTGGCGCAGCTGGACCTGAGTCGCCGCTGCTGCTAGTGTAAGCTGTTCGCAAGTCTTCAGTTCGGTTCCGGATCGGCCCGCGATCAGCACTGGCGCACGGCTGCTACAGACAGGGACACGGGTCGCTACCGACAGGGACACAAGCCGATACCAACAGGGACACGGGCCGCTACAGACAGGGACACAGACCGCTACTGACCTTGAGCGGGGTGGAGCTAGCCTGCACGTCGTCGTCGATGATCGGCGCGGCCGACCATCGCTTGCTGGCGTCGCCGCGGCTGGCCGGCGGCGGGAACTGGGGCAGCGGGCAGATCTGGTTCAGGGCCGGCTCACTGCCCCGCCGTACCTGCGGCGACACGGGGCCGGTCAGCGGCGGTCAGACCGGCCGCGGCGGCCGACGAGAGCGGTCAGCTGTGGACACGCCCGGCACAACGGCAGCGAAAGATGGCCAGTTCTGTGACAGACGGTCGCAGGTGGTCACACACACGACAGATCGCGTGTGTCGGGGACAGGTACAGTAACACATGTTTGTGCCGGGAGCAGGGGCTATTGCGGGCAAAGCTCACCGAATCACAGGATCGGCCCAGGGCGGGCACAGACGGCCACCGCGTCCGTCAAACAGGTAACAAGTAACACTGTGTCAGGCGGTAACAACGGACATCACATGGTCACACCCTACGACAGCCGACATGATCGACCACCATGAAGAAACCAGCGCGATCAGATCGGCCAGTGGTGGCGATACGGTTCGACAGCCCGGCCGTAGACGGCTGAGTCAGGCTGACTAGGCCCAGCGCCCGGCGGCCGGCGTCGGGCGTACCGCTTTCCCTGCCCTCGCCACCCCCCCCCCCCCCCGCAAACACTGGAGTCGGGCCGCAGGCAGGCCCCCCTCGTGTCTCGGCACGCGCCAGGCCGCATCCGTGTCAGCCAGCGGCCGGCGTCGGGCCACGGGCAAAGGGGCCTTCCCTGTCTCACCTCCGCAAACACTGGAGTCGGGCCGTAGGTAGGCCCCCCCCCTCGTGTCTCGGCACAGGCCGGACAGTAGCCGTATTAGCCGGAAGGGCCTCTGACCAAGGAAAGGAGTCGGGCTCGCTCGTCTTCTCCCGAGCGGACGGCAGACGCGCCCCTCACACGTGGGCACAACACTGGACTTAACTGATACATGGGCGATATCGGCGGCCGACCTTTCAGCACTGCTTCGATCCAAACGGAAGTGGGTGGGGGGTCACACATTGTTGCTGAGGTTTGATTCTTATTTCACAAGGCTGAAATCTGGCTCGTTGCTAGCTGGCCACCCACATATACACAAGAACCCCAATCGGTTGAAAGGTTAGCAGGATCCCCGGCCCAGCCGTGGTCACGTCCAACAGTCGAGAGCCAACCACCCTGAACCAGTGGCAGACGCTGCAGCAGACAACTGAGCTTGGCTGCTCCCGGAGCAAACTTCAGCACACGGTGCCCATGACCGGAGTACTGGGGAGCTTAAATAAGCCATCGGGAGTTGGAGGAAGCTGCAAATAGCATCGACAAGCATGACGAACGTTGGGAGACCTCCTGCAAGCCAGTGAGCAGCGGCCGGTTACGTAGGCGTCTCTGCCTGCGCCAACGCCCGATGGGTTACGACGCTGGCGTTGATCAAATGCAGGCCCCAACCACATGGGAGCTCTAACCATATTCGATGGCTACTATGAGGAATACTGAACCGTCCCAGCACGCGGCATCTCCCATCGATTTAATCCCATCCCGCCTCTGCTTATCGGCACAAAACTTGATGAGATCTTCCCATGAACCCGGTACTTGGCTAAGCGGCACGCCCCGGACCGTAAATCTGTGAAGTGCACCCGGCTGCGACCGCTGCCTGCCGAAGCGGCATTTTTCCCATGGCACAGCGTGACTCATCGGCATCAGAACTGATGGCGTGGCCAGAACTGAGCCCAGCTCACGAGTTCTCACTGCACCGCTGATGTCACGTGGTTATGACGTCACGCTGAGTCTCACTAGCAGACCACTTGGAGACACAAGGGGCATATTTGCGTCACCGCCATACAGGTGGGCCCACGCCTCGGCTGAGCCCCGACCCGTCACACGAAGCGTGAGGCTTTACCACCGCGTGGCCCCGTCACGCAGGCGGGTCCCCGTCTCGGCTGAGCCCCGACCCGTCACACGAAGCGTGAGGCCTTACCACCGCGTGGCCCCGTCACGCAGGCGGGTCCCCGTCTCGGCTGAACCCTGAACCGTCACACAGGGCGCGAGGCTTTCCCGCCACGCGGTCCCGTCACGCAGGAAGGTCCTCGCCCGGCTGAGCCCCGACTTGCCACATGGGGTGCCAGGGCGACCTACCGCCGCGCGGTCCCGTCATGCAGGCGGGTCCCCGCCTCGGCTGAACCCCGACCCGCCACACGAAATGCGAGGCCTTACCGCCGCGCGGCCGGTCTATCCTTACGAAGCCTGAGCCGGGAATGTCGTGCTGACAGCACGCATACGGTCCAGTCAAAAATCGCACACCAGGCCAATCAGCCCCACTTATCAACGAATGGAAGCACGTTTTTTGACGCTAGAGGAAGAGCAGACGCAGGAAAATGGTGTGGAAAATTCACATCAGTGGAACATGCACATTTATCTTTCGGTGAGCCTACCATTGATTCCAAATGACATTCTCGTAGAATTTAAGCTACGAATAGGTGTTACCATTCGAAACAAGTAGATGCCCTAGTTTCTAAAGCGACATGTTGCGCAAGACTTGGTACCTGCAATCATTTATCTGGGGCTGTTGTCACGAAACATTAGAAAAAGTGCACATGAATCTAGAGATTGATATGAATTTTACACACCAAGCCCCAAGACGGTATGGAGTTCTCCACACTAATCCCATACAAAGCGTTCGGCATGCACGCGTAACTCTGCATTTCCAACCTGCAGCAACTACAGCGCATGCCGGCTTCCAAACATTCGCCAAGAAAGCATCGTCACGTCTGAACTCTAACAAGGAAATATTGATAGCAGGTGGCGCCCAGCCGGTGCCAGCAATGTAAAGTTTGCAGGCTACCCGCCTCAGCAAAGCTTCGGTGACACTGATTACATAACTTCGGCTTGCTGGAAGGAACTCACCCGCCGCAACTTATCACGAAAATCGATGGCGTGGATGCAGTTACGGCCCGGTGGCATTTGCTTTGTTGGCCAACATGCGGTATTCGTCCGAGCTTTCTCACCCACGACACCTGTCCTAACAAGCATCAACAGACACAAGATCCCGACACACACACGGCTGCGCGTTGGACGGCGGCCGCCTGCCTCAACAAGGGCACAATCAGCCCAGATCGGAGCGTCCGGACTATGCGCGTCACGCGAAGCGCCCGTCTTTGCCCCGACACAGCGCGGCTCTGTAGATGCTGGAGAATGCCAGGCGATACCCAGACAAGCACTACAGTTAGTGTCAACGTCGGCCGCGGGTCACGTGGGGACCACCGGAACAACGCGATAGCTGAGAACGACCCGAGCAAGAGGTGAGGGGGTTTAGTCGATCTCGAGAGCTTCCCAGTTCCTGCAGACAATGCCGGCCTCCCTAGTACGAACTCAGCGGAGAACGTGCAACTACGCCTCCACACCGGAACCCCGCGAACGCGACCCACTTCAGAGACAGGGCCTGTAAACAAGGGTGATTACCAGTGAAAAATGTACCGTCAGGCCGCCGCATTCTCGGTGAGTTCTTGTTTCGCTCCATCGGACACAATCCCTGAACGCCATCATTAGTTCTCCTTGTGATCGCCAGATGGCAAATAGGCTGTCACGGCCTTCTTTAGCAGCGTCAACCCGCCAGACGGCCACCTGCAGACGTGGCGGAAAAGGCAGCACGTGGACCAGTGCACCTCCGCAGGTGCTTTGATTGTTTTGCCTTCAGCTTGCCACGAAAATACCCGCCGCGTTGTGACTTTGCATTCTGGAAGCCGAAGCCATTCACACCGGGGAACTGAATGAAGACGGGTTCGCAACACAGCGGTCTATTTTACCACTGCCAATGACTGCCAATGACACCCACAGCCCATAAAGTCTCACGAGCGGGCCCAGCAGCGGCCCAAGCTCCAGCAACAGGAGCACGACCTTGACCCGCGCCGGCTGCCGACGGCGCTCATAACAGCGTACCACTTAGCTCGGCCGGCGGACCGCAGACGGTCACGATCGGCTCTAACACCCGCGCCCAACCGAGCCTGTCCTCGCTGCCGCGCCGGGCGCGGCGTGCTCCAGCGGGCCGCCGCTGCCCGGCCGGCGGACCGCAGACGGTCAGGACCGGCTCTAGTACCCGCGCCCGACCGAACCTGTCCTCGCTGCCGCGCCGGGCGCGGCGTGCTCCAGCGGGCCGCCGCTGCCCAGCCGGCGGACCGCAGACGGTCAGGACCGGCTCTAACACCCGCGCCCGATCGGGCCCGTCCTCGCTGCCGCGCCGGGCGCGGCGTGCTCCAGCGGGCCGCCTCTGCCCGGGCCGGCCGAGAGCGCCGGCCGCAGCCGCGTGACCGGCACGCTGAAGGTGCGGTCTGCGGTCGGCCGGCGCGCAGGACCGGCTGTGTTTTATCAGCAGAGGTTACGACCGGACAGTCACGTCCCACAGCTGAAATACAGGCAGAAGCTCGCAGGGGAGGTCTAACAGACTTGAAGAAGGCAGTGAACCATGAATGGACCAGTTCGAAATGGAGTATGGTATCTTCAGAATAACGGTGATATGCTATACGCTAGTGAAGGCGTTTTAAATCGGCAATCTTTCTTTTGCCAAGGACCAATTGTCCGGTTCAACCAAACAGAAAACTATTCCATTCGCACTGCCTTTCTATCCCATTTAATTTTTCTACCAGATTATCTGTGCATAAGTCGACCACAGGAACTAGAACCAGACGAGCACAGCTCGCCGCTAGGATAGCGCTTTCTAAATTTGTTGACGGGAAGGCAAGACTTTCCTCGTATGCAGTTCTTTCCTAAGCTGTCGGGCTTTACCGGCGGCTTTTCTAGGTAATTTTAGCTCCATATATGTGTGTGAGGCGGGGGGGGGGGGGGAGGAGGCAAGAATGCGGACGCCCCAAGTGACGTAAAGCTCCATTCATGTTCACCGTCACCAAAATGCCCGGGTTTCACCCAAGCCCCCCCCCCCCCCCGGCTCAGCTCCCCAGGAAGCAACGAATCAGTCACCTCACCCATCTGGGGTAAGCACGTATGCTCCTGCTCCAGCCAACACCCCTTCCCTCAGCTCCCCAAGAGGCGACGAATCAGCCGTCTCGCCCACCTGGAGTAAGCAAGTGTGCCCTTGCTCCAGCCCCCCCAGAAGGCCACGAACCGGCCGCCTCACCCACCTGGAGTGAGCACGTGTGCTCCTGCTCGCCGGTGACCTCGATGTCGACCCGCGAGAACGGCTGGAACTTGTGGTCGCCATTCTGCAACAGACCACACCCGTCAGAAGCCTGGCTGGGGAGTACACTCAACGCACGCGGGCGCCGGCTGCGTGTTCAAACAGATCGGAGAGCTGTCCTCGGCACGAGCGTTTCAGCGGGCCTCACGTCACGTTCAGCTGATCGCGCACGAGCGCCGCTGGCACAAACGCGCCGCAGACGTGCCTAAATCATTCAGCATCTAGAACAGCGCCGTCGTTAGCACGTGAGCGACATGCGGCCGCCTGCTGCCTTCGGCCGATCAGACAGTAGCAAGGTCGGCCTGTAAGTGTCAGCCGAGCTGCACATGAGAACTGTCGCCGCCAATACCGGAACGATACGGATACGGCATTAGTTTTAGATGAGAGACGGGGTGAGGGTGGGGGGGGGGGGGAACTGAAAAAATAACCGGCCGGCCCCTCCTGCCAACCACTCAGCGTACCGGCGAGCCGACTGCATGCGCGGCTGATCGCGCAGCTGCCGTAACGCCGACGGAACATCAGTCGCTCTTCTGTCCCGTGCAGACGTCTGCCGACTGCCATTGACCCCGCTGCTGCGCCGCTGCGCCGAACCTTGTGCGTTGGTACACCATCGCCGGGTCTGTGCGGACCGCGGGGCTCGGCAAACTGCACAGACCAATGGACGCGCTCAGCCGAGTTCAGCTCAGCTGCGCAGAGTTCGGCGCCCAGCCGCACACATCGGCCGCCGCGCCGCTGGCCATTCCATCAGGCCACTCCCTCGACGGCTTTTTCGCTAGTCCGAGTCAACGATCGGCTCGGCCGGCGAAAAACGCGGCGGTGGGAAGGCACGGCACCGGAGGTGCGGCCTGGGAGCGCGCCGAGCGGCCGCCTTGCCTCCCGAGAGGACCGCCACCATGCGACCATCCCCACCGGCCATGCAGCGAGAGAGCCGTCACCCTCGCGCCCGCCTCTGCCGTCACAGCCGCCCGCCGCAGGCCTCCGCCGGCCTCACCACCTCCACCGGTCGCCGTCGCCCGGCCGGCCGTTCTTTAATAGCCGCCACACGGCGCCGGCGTGATGGATGGCGGCGGGCGTCGCCGCCTCAGACGGTCGCGCGCGGCACCGGGCCGCCGCGCCGCGCCGCGCCGGTCCCGGTGGCACGAGGACGGCCGCCGCACCGGTCCCGACGGCACGAGGACGGCCGCCGCACCGGTCCCGACGGCACGAGGACGGCCGCCGCGCCGGTCCCGGTGGCACGAGGACGGCCGCCGCGCCGGTCCTGCCGCTGCCCTGACCTCGCGCGGACGCGAGCGGCAGCGGCTGGCGAGAGGTCCGGCCGCCGCCGCGCCGCCCGAAGTGACGCACTGTCGCCGCGATCTGAGAACACCGACCGCTGTTTCCAGCCATTTGGAGACCGGCTCTCGCAAACTTCTCTGCCTGCCCACTCCGATTTCACGCCGCTGGTTTTACGCGCCCCTGGCTAAGTGCGGCCAATGACTCTGGTCCGGCACCTCTGGCACGTGGGAGAGCTTAACCACAACACAGGCTGCTATGGTGCCACATTCAGCAAGGTGACCCTGACCCTGGAAATCTCAGGTAAACGGTACACTCACTGAAATGTTCCGCTGCTAATGACCTGACATGGAACTACGACATCAGATGCACAGATTATACTTTCAACGAATTACTCGATCAAAAGAACAACCAGACCAGTCCACCTTCGCTCAATGGTCTTAGCAATTCAGTAAATGCAGGGACATCAAACAGCCCGCATTTATCTTGACTGACGGGTGAATGGGAACAGTATGTGTGCATTCTAAGGCAAAATGTATCCCACTGACAAGATACATTCATCCTGATCTGAAGCCGACAGGCTCTTCATCGGCTCAACAAAAGCCACATTAGCAGAGCGTAGCCTTCCGCCCGCCGTCGTCCGCGTTGTGACGCGTCACACCGCAGCTGCGACGTCACGGGCCGCGTCACGCTCTCTAGCGCCACGCTCTCGTTATCTGGCAGCGGCCGGCTCACGCGGTCCGGAGACGCCGCCATACCCCAGAGGCGGCCGATCGCCGGCCGCGGCCCCGTGTCGCAACAGGCCGGCGTCCACGAGCGGCGAGGAGTGGCCGGGGCTGCCGGGCTCGGCGCCGCCGCCCGCCACACCGCGACGGGCGCCAACGTGCGCCGAGACCGGACGAGCGGGCCATTGTGGCGGTGACACCCGCCAACTGGCCCGTCGGCAGGCCCGTCAGGAGCGGCGCGGTCATCGCGGCCAGTCCATGGGACCAGCAGGCTACTGTGGCGGTGAATCCCGTCGACTGACCCGTCGGCGAGCCCGTCAGGAGCGGCGCGGTCATCGCGGCCAGTCCACCCGGCCAACAGTAACGAGGTTAATAGCCGGGCGAACTTGAACTGGAACAGGTTTTTGTCATCGACGGAAAAAAACATGGCCCCAAAGCTTGACGACAGCGACAGTGCATACGTGAACGGACATGGTAATAAAACACACCGGGTCCAGCGGGCGAGATTGCGCCGTCACTCTCTCAGGCGCATGGCTGGGGATTGGAAACTACACGTCCAAGGGCTGCTATTCTTGGCAGCTTAAGCCTCGAGAATGGAAAGGCTCTCTCTCTCTCAAGCTAATAAGAAGGTCAACCGCGTCCTCAGCGGGCGCCATGTCTTTCCAGCCACGTCCTCAGCGGGCGCCGTGTCCAGCCACGTCCTCAGCGGGCGCCGTGTCTATTCAGCCACGTCCTCAGCGGGCGCCGTGTCTATTCAGCCCGCACGCGTGTCAGACGCTCCGTGCTCCTTAGCAGCCGGCAATGTGACGAGATGAGGTTGCATGTCGCGCAAACGAGAAGCCGCGGGATTCAATTGCATATTTTTCTGCACGTCTTCCGAGAGTAATTAACGTCCCAGTCATGCCGGAGAGCGAAAGCAAATTGCTGCTATTAACCACGGCCGTAAAGCCGCATGGCAGCAATAGCCGGGTGCTGCCGGGCATGAAAACGGTCGAAACTATGCGCAGTCCAAGGGCCAATTCAAGGTATCTGCCGACGGGGATCAAGCCAGGCAATCGGCTCTCCTCGATGCGCACGCCAGTTGAATTTTGATTAGCCCATGTGCAATGCTACCTAAACATTGCATGTAAAATCTGGCTACGCATGATGCAGAAACCGTTGGCAGACAACGGAATGTGTCAAAGAAAAGGTCATGACTATCTCTGCCCAAATCAGGCTCAACAACCCTCGAGAGAGCCCTCCGAGTCAAGGGCACCTGCATGTGACACGACGCGACACCTGCATCTATCACTGCGCTCCAGCTCCGTCCACGTCCCGACCGGTTCACCTCAGGACTCCCGAATGTCCAGCAGCACGTGCGAGCGAGCCGGGACTCGTGTGTGACCCCTGCCAACGTGGGCGCCCTCCGGCAGCACGTGCGAGCGAGCCAGGACTCGTGTGTGACCCCTGCCAGCGCGGGCACCCTCCAGCAGCACGTGCGAGCGAGCCGGGACCCGTGTGTGACCCCTGCCACCGTGGGCGCCCTCCAGCAGCACGTGCGAGAGAGCCGGAATCCACGTGTGACCTCTGCTACCGCGGCGCCCTCCGGCAGATGCGCGGCGGCGCCGGGACCTGTGTGATCTCTGCTACCGATAATGCGACCACTGGCGGCGATAGGCCGGTCGGAGGAGCAGGCCGCACCATTCATCACCGTTCGCCTGCCGCTGGAACGAGGCCGCGGCCTGTCATCGGCCCGCGCCCCACCTGGCAGCCTGGGACGGCCTGGGCTGACGCTGAGGCTGAGGCTGAGACTGAGGCTGAGGCTGAGGCTGAGGATGGGGCTGGGTTGAAGCTAAAGCTAAGATTCTAAGTGACGTCACGTAGATTAGAACATTATTGGTGCGCTGCGAATACACCCTCAGAGCAGCCGGCGCAACGGGACATCGCGGTAATTGATTGAGGCACGGATCTCGTCCGGGAGGGAGGGGGGGGGGGGGGGCGTCGCGAGCGCGGGCCGTCGGCTACTGACAACGCGGTTAACGTCTGCCCGAAATGGATGTCGTCCGTTATCCTCCATAACAGATGAAAGATCGACGTGCGGCGAAAGGTGTCTGGCCATTAGCGCTTGACAGCTGTAGGACCACAGACAAACCCGGGCGACAGTGCCACAAAAACAAAGACAAAACAGAAGGCGAATATGCGGTGGTCGTCCACTTCTTCACACAACGGCCTCTACTTCTTCAGCCCAGCAGGTACACAGTGCATCATCAGCAATACGAGCAGCCGAAGATAGACTTAACGACCCCACTTTCAAAACATGACAGGACAGCCACGTGAAAACCTGCACCGTGCTAAATGACACGAGTCCTGGCCGCAAAAAAACCGGGCAGGTAAAACGAGGGGTCCAGTTGAGGCATGCAGTGTGAATTTATTACAAGTTTCACCAGTGTCCAGTCAGCGTCCGACCCAGACCGGCTGGAAGTCCAGACCAGTGCCCGATCCAGACCGGCTGGAAGTCCAGACCAGCGCCCGACCCAGGCCGGCTGGAAGTCCAGACAAGCGCCCGATCCAGACCGGCTGGAAGTCCAGACCAGCGCCCGATCCAGACCGGCTGACAGCCCTGACCAGCGCCCGATCCAGGCCGGCTAGAAGTCCAGACCAGCCCCCGATCCAGACCAACTGGCAGCCCCACGCGCCCGATCCAGACCGGCTGGTAGTCCAGACGACAGGAGACCGAGAATCTGACGCCACTGTCCAGAATGACGCCATGCTGGCCTCTCGTTGATCCCAAGACAGGACTTGGCGGCGCCAAGGATTAGGTAGAGCGGAACACAAGGTCACGACCCGACTCCCCCCTCCCCCCTGGAACCGCGGGTCCGGCGCACGGGACAGCCGCGCAGACAGACGTCCGCCGCGGCCAGCCACGTGTCTGCTGATCCGCCCAGCCAAACACGACACGACGTCACGGCAAGCCAGCGACACCGGCAGCCACGGCGCCGAACATTCCCACGTCCGTCTCAGGACCGCGAAATCCGCGCCGTCGCGCTGC